GCCTTCGTCACTGCTCCTCTTTTAGGGTCATCCTCCTGTTGGATCATAGCCCAGTCTAAGGATGGCGCCTGAGGATAGTGGACAGAGAAGAAAAGAGAAAGCAAGGTACGGCCCCTTTGGGACAGCAAGAGAGGGAAAGAGAGAGGTCCGAGAGGTCAGAAAAGAGCCAGGAAAGTGTGGTGAAAATGCTATTAAAGGTAGCAGGGTCAGTCAAGGCTGAGAGTGGAGGAGAGGCCTTGAAATGTAGCCGAGGAAGATTCTCTGGGAACTAAAAGGAAGGAAAGAAGGAGGATGGAGTGGACAGAGATGTGTTCAAGGGAGCAAGGGGGGAAAGCACGCGGATGAGGCAAGGTGGGAAAGAGGACGAGGACCTAGGACTAAGGAGCAGAGGGGACTCAAGAGCTGATCTGGAGACTTCAGGCAGAAGACAGGTTGAAGGCCTATGAAAGGAATGGCATACAGACAGCTAATGGTCAATCAATTGGTCAATCAACTAAACAAAATCCTTTCAGCTATATGTATCCCAGGCGATGTCCTGGGACTAACGTTTACTGTGGCCAAAGTCAAGGGCTCTTCATAGGTAAGGTCGCATGTTCATCTGTTCTGGTGCATTTTTCCTAATGTCTTCATTTACATATGGTGTAAGTATGAAGTGCAAACAGATCCTGAGTTCAGCCACCCCCACTGAATGTTATAACTATGCTTAACAGGAAGGAATAAAAGGACGCGTCTATCCAATGCAAAACCCTCAATTCTGCGTTTTAGTCTAATGTAGATTGAAGATACCGAGTTAACTGAGCTGGCAGGTAGCTTTTATAATCAGCATACTGGTTCGTAGTGGTTCATCAAAGGTCAAATGCAATATACACTCTTCAGACTGGGTTCACATCCCTGACAGAAAGAAGCATAATAGGAAAATGCATGCGGGTTTTGGTGCTTCTGTTTCTTTCTTTTTTTTTTTCAATATGAAAACTTTCTTCCCACAATCTCGGCAATATCTGATATTATGGTGCACATCAGGATGTAACTCCATGGCCTGTTCATTATTTATTGTATGCATCTCTAAGGATCTCTTTCTCTTAGGACTTGGCTAGTTGCAGATTTCAAACAGGAGCTTTGGACATGAATTGGGACAATCTCCACATTCCCTGAACAGCATTGGACATGAATTAGGACAAACTTCACAATCCCTGAACAATATCCAGGGATGTCCTCCGGAAATGGCAAAGGTTTAGATTTTAAGTCTCATCTCAAAGACCCTTCCTACCCTGCTGAAAGAAAAGTGTGAGGAAAAATGGTCAAGCTTGGAACTTGTGAAGAAAGGGGTCCACGTGCTTTCCTACTAGTGTTATAGTAGACAATGCCCTGGGTGGACAATTCTGACCCTTGACTTTAAAGATATATATTATATCTATATAGATATAAAGATAGATATGTGTGTGTATCTATCTATCTATCTATCTATCTATTTGTGAACATATATATGTTTAAAGTCAAGGCTCAGAATTGTCCACCAAGGGCAATACCTACTATAATATGATGCACACATGCGCACACACTCACGTGTGTGTGCGTATGTGCGCGCGCGCGCATGCCTGGTGTAGATCATGATTTCACATTCTTTTCCAACTAAATGGACAAAAGTACCATCTGACTGCAGAAATCCAGGGGCGGTAGCGGAGGGAGGCGGGGGCGGAATCTGACCTTGCAGCCGATCACTTGGTTGCAGAATTCCTGGTGCTGTTTCCTACTGAATGTGGGCAAGGATAGGAAACGGGATTCTTCAGCACTCGCGAACCATAATCACACAAAGGGCCATGCTAAGAGGTCCGTGAGTACCAGAGTACCAGGCAGTCGCTGAGAGGTGCGCACTAATCTGGGTGAAATGTATATGCTTCGATCGGAAAACATTCAGCGCAATAGGCAGCAGAACAAACGGGGACATGGAAAAAAACAACATTGTATTGCAATGACGGGCAACTGGAGAGACTGGGAAAGAACCAGTGGGTCACCAAGTGTCGAACAGAGCGCTAGGGGGGAAGGGAGACTACAACGCAGTTTTGCAGAGGGGCGCCTCTCCCCTCTGACTGGACTCGCAGGGGGAGGGGTATTATCTTTCTATGATGATCGATCTCCGTGTTCAAAATGTAGCAGCAATAAAATGGCACGGTTCTTTGGGTATGTAGTTAGACCAACACAGCTACCACAACCTATACCCCTGCAGCAATAACATGCTTCTTTTTCACCACCAGGGAAACACCTTCGGCCTAAAGATACAACCAAGATCCCAAGGAGTGACTTTCTGACTACAGGGTGATTCCCACGCGAGTCAGATGAATCCAGGCTGGGCGGCCACCGGCTTGGATCTGGCTGTCATGTCGCACAGCACCCACCCACAAGCAGAGCTATCAGCGGTGGATCCCTTTCACTTTTACAGGCATTGGGCAGCTAGAGAAACATATAGAGGGCTGGATGGATCCCAGTTCTCTTCTCAGTTGCAATATCTGTCCATGTTATCTAGTACACGGTATTAGCGGTGCTGGTGGTGGATCTTGAACTGCATAGTCATTGCAGTGACTATATGACTCCACTGTCATCACCCACGCCCACGTAGCCACATTTCAGGACCTCAACAACAACTGCTGTTAAGGTCTCTTAGGCTCTGACCTCAGATCACGGGGGAAAGGGTCAGCTTCCTCAGGACAAGCGAGTTTCTGAGCGGCTCAGGACACAGTGAACAGGCAGGTCACGACAAGCCAGGGGTGGGCTCTGCGGCCCCTTCGGATAGAGCGGAGTTCAGGGGGGAAACACAAGCACAGAGAAAAAAAATAAAAGTAGCCCACTGGTATCCCTTGGTATTTAGGCTGCTTCTGAGGCTACAGCCTATTTCCCACCCACCTCCAGCCATTGCCTGGTACCCCATTCTGGGCTGCGACTGCAGGACCTGGGCTAATTTATCTCTCTCCAGTTCACGAGCTGGGGCATATGGATCAATCCCAGCCATCTGTAATATTGTTCCCGCTCCCTTATTCCCTCCGTGCGGTACGAGTGCTGGGGACAAGTTGCCATTCAGATCGCAGGTGCCCAGAGCATAGGCGATCTAGCTGTATATGCCGTAGACACGGCGGGATCTGGGAAGCTATTTTCTTAGATCGCAAGTCCGGGGCCGCTGTATCCACACAGCGCCTGTGCTGGCTGCTTTGCAATGTACGGAGCAAGTACAAGATTGAAATATATATATATATATATATGTTTCTTTCCCAAGGCAGGTATTCCCCTCCCACCCCCCGTCTAAAACTCACAGCCTCTCTGCTGGGGTGGGTCATCTTAACCCCATGGAGCTACACCCGCTAACCCTGAACTCTATGGCAAAGCTCCCTTGAGTGGGTGCATCTACACCTTTATTAACACGTTTTAGTTAATGCACATTATATCTAGTACCTCCTTTATACACATACCTTTGCCTGTTCCGACTAACTGGAAATCAAGTCTGCAGAGCACACAAGCCAAGGTGCCCGTCTCTGCATCCCATGCATTTGTATAAGCAGCGAAATGCGCATCAGCACACAGAAAATGGCTGCCCTGCACTTTTGAACTGAAACACCTTTGAGGTGTTTTAGTTCAACAGTGCACCATACCATTTTCTCAGCATTGACAAACATTTCGCAGTTTATACAAATGCATGCACTGCAGTGCCAGGCCCTTGTAAAAGCACCTGGTGCTGTGGCCCATGCACGTGTACAAATGCCCTCCATTGTGAGGTACTAGGAAAATACGGATTAGCCTTTCTTAATGCTCATTAACTAAAGAGCATGTTTTTAAAGTGACATTTACTGTGCATTAGCATATTTTAATGCACATAAATAGCACTTTTTAGTGATGCTGTAATGCACATTAAAATAGGCTAATCGGCATTAAAGCGCATGTGTAGGCCTGCTGGTGGCCGTAGATCAAAGTCACAGGGATTGACCAAGAGGATTCATGGAGGGTTGGGAGCAGCAGCAAGCTGGAAATTGTGCTGTTCCAGGGCCTGAAAGACAGGAGCCAGACAGGAGCTCTGCTGTCTTCTCCACTCGGAGGGGCGGAGGAAGGGGGCCTTTCTGCCTAGCTGTAGCCATTTCTTTGGTGCCCTTGGTCTGTCCTCCCCGGGCTGCAGAAGGTGTCCTGGCGACAGCGTCTGTGCAGCTATTTCCAATGGCCTGCCCTGCCTTATTCATTGATCCGGTTTACCCCTCGCAGAGGCCCGAGGTTTTCCAGACTTACTGATTTTGCTCTTGCAGGAAACCTCTAGGCAACGGGGATAGCGGGGGAGTGACAACCTCCTTGTCACTCCTGCCACCGCCTCTGTCCCAGGGACAGCGGGGGAGTGAGAGAAGCGGGTCCCCCGGGCGCCTTCCCCTCCCACTGTGCACTAACCCGGGGCAGCAGCCCAAGGACCCGCCGGCTGGTGTTTGGCCACGAAATGATGAGGCCGTGTGGTGCATGTAGCAGGGCCTTTCCCCTCCCTCTGCGGCTGGAGCCTCTGCCCTCTGCCTCCAGCCTCAGTCCCAGGCCATCCTGAGGAGCCGATCCGGACTCATGTCCCTCCGCCCGGACTCGGCAATAGTGACCTGCTCACATAACCATCAAGGACCCTTGATGCAGGAGCCACTGGCAGGCCTCCCATGGGTTTGCATGGCCTTTGAATCGTCCCCCCCGCCCCCCAACCCAAGCCCCTATCCTTGTCCCCCGCTTGCCAAGGCAGAGCTACTTGTCACTCAAGCGAAAAATCCACTTGATTCAAAGCCAGGCCTCCACCCGCGGACGCACTCCCCTTGTATGCGACTTACAAAGCCGCCCTCCCCGCTGCCTTCAGTTCATTTCTATTTACTTTTCCGGGAAGATCCTCCAGGTCTTCTTGGGGTCTTTTTGTTTGTTTGTTTTGTTTTTTTTAAAGCTGATTTTCTGCTAGGCTTTGGCTTGCGGGCACCGGAGCTGGGGATGCCTGTATCATCCCTAGGATGCACGCTGCAGCGTTTGTGCAGGTTGGGAAAAAAGAGATCAAAGTGTTTCTCCCCCTACCCCCAGCCAGAAGTGCTGCCTCTGTCTGTCTGCGAGCCGGTGCAAAGGTCCTGGTCGCCACCCCAGCAGGGTCCAGGGATGTCTCCGCAGCTTTCTTTCTAATCATCTTTTCTCAGGAGCTGTCACGAACATTGGCTGCGCCGGCAGTCCCACAGAGAGGCATTAGCCCGGTCATATTCTGTGTCTCTTTTATTTCCTCAGTTTCTCCCTGAAATCTTTATAAATCTCCTTTCGAGGGAGAGGGACCAAGCGGGTGGAAGTCTGACTACAATGAGACCTGAGAATTTCTGTCACTCGCTGCATATGGTCCTAAGTGCTTTAATCCCAATTAGGGGCGGCTGACACCCGGTCCTATTCATCCCAATCAGCTCTTGAATACATTTGCCTAGAAATGAACTTCACAAATAGACTCTCTCCTAAATGTGCCCAACAGCAAGGAAAATCGAATTGAGGCAGGGGCTCATTCTAAGGCGATCGCGGGAGAAAAGGTATGAATTTATAAGGTACACCGAAACATTGCAATTCAGCAACAAGTTTACTGACTTTTATTTGCATCATGTCAACCGAAAGAACCGAGAGATGCGCTGGAGGCTGGAGGGGAGGCGGAGAGGGGGGAGGAAGGAATCCGGTTAAAAGGCAACTTTAGACAGACTTTGAATACTTTATGTGGCAAATTTCGCTTCCAGTTGAAGCCGGGTTAAAGCACAAAAAGGCAAACAAAAATTAAAATAAAAACCCAACCCTCTGATACCATAACACTGGAATTTTTACGTAGCACTAAAATGTATTTGAATCCGATCTGGGAGGAAGCCTGCAATTAAAGAATAAGAATCCCAAATTGAGATCATGTCATCTGCTGGGGTTCCCATAGAACCGTAATTACTATTCAAAAGCTGCTTTAATATCCCACCCGCATCTCGTCTGCACCGCACAGCTGGTTAGGAGCTTTCAGCCCCGGTTGTCGCGCTCCGCCAATGGTCCTCGCTGGATTGCCAGCGTTTATTATTAATATTGCGTAGCAAGTGCTGGCGTCATGAAACCCAGAAAGAAATGCGGTAGATCCGGACAAATTATGAAACAAAACTGTGTATTGATTTTCTAGAGCAAATTAAAAAAAAGTGTGATTTAAGAAGGCATTTCTGGTCCCTGTTAAAATTGTGTTTTGCCCTGTGATGTGAAAAAGTGCTCGAGTGTGACGCAGATCGCCGAGCTCTACAGTCAGCGGGTGGAATGTGACGTAATAAGTCGGCGGCTAAATGCCTCCCCCCCCCCCAGTACAGTCTTGAAATGTAACATTACATGCCATCATCTGCAATGGGAAACCCGGCTGCAAGGTACGGGGGAAAAAGAGGTCAGATCGGGAACTGGCTGCTTCATTTTCCTGCGAGAATATCGACTACTGAATGAACTTGCAGCATTTTGTTAAAGCATCCTCTGTGTTTCTCTCCGACATAATGAAGCTGGCCCTGTATACAGGCATTCATGCTGGTTTGAATGTAATGTTGAACCTTCTCTGTGCTGGAGCGGTTTGATGGTTTGAATGGAGCTCCCTGGTGGGACATTGCTCTCTGCAACTGTGCCTCTTTGGACGACTGTTGTTCCTTAACATTCATGCCTCATTATGGGGCAACCTGTTAAATCAAAAAGAGCACTGTGCCAAAGTGTTACTCAGGGGCATTGGCAGTTCAGCGGTGGGCATTAAATAAGAGCTGCCGAGGAAAATATCTTTCATCAAATCTCTGGGCAAAAGTTATTTCACTTTAATGGTGCTTCTCGCAGCCCGGTTTAAGTATATAAAAGCGATAGTGGAATGTTTTGATTGAGCCTAAACATTGTCTTTGAATAAAGCTGAAACCATGTAATTAATGTGTCTTTTTAATAAGGGACAATACAGTCGTTCAAGCTATTTAATTTCATTTAATTTTCCATCCCATTTGCTCCAAAGGCTGCTTTTACTTTTAACACCCGGCCTTTCATGCTGCATTTTGCTCCAGTGGGCACATTAGATCGGTTTCACCCTTCCTTTTTAGGGAAGGAAAAATAAAAGAAAATGTGGTTCCTTTCCTCTTTTGTGGACAATTTATTTCACTTGGGGAACTTCAACTTTGAGCCACAGGACAGAATAAAAATTGGAGAACTGGTGTGAATGCTTCCAGAGCAGGGCTTTTCTTTTCTTAGTGGATGGGAACCAGCCACAATTGGCTATATTAATAAATAACTTTCCTCACAGTCGGCCTTTACATGGTCCTATTGATAAAATTGTTCGCGTGTCGTTCACGCTTTTTGACTCATTAAGGAGGGGACTGAGCGGCTTCCCAAATGGAGCAGTAGGATACCTTGGTGCCTTAAAAGCCCTCTCCCTACCTCTGCAGCGCTGGCAATTTAAACTGGGTGTCATCCTAAAGTCGCCAGGCCAGAGGTTACAGGGACATGTTCATGGCTTAAATTTATTGCCCTCGACTTCTTGTTTATCCTTTCCTCCTATTCATGTTGGTGATCAAAGGGGTCATCTTCAGTTCCCCCCCCCCCTCCCGTCCCTGCTGCAGTCCAGGCTACTGTGGCTAAGAAGGAGAAAACAAATCTTCTTCCCCGTCCCCGCCTTGAAGATGCCCCCAGCACTGCCAGCCCGAAGTCGGGAGGACCAGGATCCTCCCTGACTCCAGGCCAGGGGCTCATGTTGCTTCCTTGCCCGTCGGGTGTGCGAGTAAAAGTCCCCTTCTCCGTGCTCAGCATCCATTCAGCCCCTGGCCCACACCTCGGGGCCAGGGGCGGTGGGGGTCGGTCTCCTTACCCCTCTTCTACTCAGTTCTGTCTTAGGCCAGTTTTCTAAATTAGCTGATCCCACAGGGCCTGATTCTGCTCTCCCGCGGCATCCAGGATCCACCCCTTTAGCCAGGATCTCCAGATAGAAACTATCCCGGGCCAAAGGCGCTTGGCTCCGGGTCCAGGCGTGCTGCCGCCCCCCCGTGCAGCTTTGTTAGAAGGGGACTGCGGCAAGTGCGGGAATGTCCCTGGATACACAACTGCACCCGCACGTCCCATGGCAGGTTGAAACAGCCCCCATAGACGGCTGCGGGCGGCTTTGATCGCTGCCCGGACAGACGTGAGGTCCCAGCCAGCACCCAGCCCCGTGCTGTTGTCTCTTGTCCCCGCACAGACTTATTTAGCCAGAGCAGATTGAGCGACCTGATTTTACTTTGACTCTCGTTTCTCTGGCACTTTTACCCGCTCTCCGTTCCCTGCCGGGATGTGCCACTGCCTGGAAGGGCGAGTGTTTCACGCCTGCTCCGAAATACGAGCTTGAACATTTCAATTCTCTTCCGGAGAAAATGCGGAGGCGATCCCCTGCGTAGCAGCCAGTCCATGATCTATCGCTTATCGTGAGATGCAGCGAAGGACGAACAAGTGTTGCTGCTAAGAGTTTGCTTTTCTAGTACTTCGGATTTCATTCTTGATCAGGTCTCGAAAATAAAATAAAATAAGGAAAGCAGCGGCGGGTGGAAAAAAAAACCCAAGTGTATTAAGGAGGTAGGTGATGGCACGAAAGCAAGAAATGTTCAGCCGCCTCCTATTCAAGATCAGCATCCCAGTCAGGAGGCAGAAAAAACCCTACGTAAAAGGGAGAGGGGTAAAAACACGATTTGGAGCTCCTTTTAGCTAACACGTGTGCATCCCGATTTCTGTGCCAGACCTCCAAAAACCCATGGAAATTCCACTTCCAAAGACTTGTCCTCCCTTCCCTGTCACAACTCGAGCTGCTCTTATGAGCCGCACGCCCTTCTTGAGAACTGGGCTGTACCCCAGTGCTTCGTGTTTGGCTCATTAAATCGCTATTATCACTCTTCAGAGAAAATACAGGTCGTTTTGGAAAAGCAGAACAGTTTCCATGAGACGCACGGGGTTATTTGCATTTTTTTTTACATCCCCATTTTTAAAAGTAGCACCCGCAAAGGGCAATTTTGCACATGGGGCAGGGAGGTGGAGAGGGACTAGGCACCAGGGGTCTCGTAAGATCTGCCTTAACCTCTAGGATATTGCCGTGTCTGTTAACGTGTGGAGCCACCTCCTGAATTTCCCTACTAACACGAATAAAACCATTCCCATCGCATTGGCAGATGCAAGGCTTGGTGCCTTCAAGGAGCAACAATGGTTCATATTTCGTGTCATTCATCCATGAAGAAAGTAAAAGTTAAGGATCAAAGCTGAGCTAAATAGATGACTGGCCTGAAACCAATCGACTCACATGGTAATACGGCCTTTTTTTTAAGTGTAGGTATTTTCTGGTGTTTTCCCATCAAGTACCTGCCCAATTTCTGTATGGCACACGCCAGGAATCAATAGAAGTTAACAAGTCCTCAAAACATTCCCCATCTCTTTGTTTAATCTCCTTTACAATAAAGCCAAGGGAAGAGAATTAAAAATCTTTGAAGTATATTAAACCTCAAAAGAATCAGCCAAGTAGACTTAAAATAGTCACTTATTTTCCAAAACTGGTTTGTCGAGGAACAATAAAAGGAAGCAAAATTTATGGAGAAATTATACAGTGGATTTGTCACTTAAAATATCGTAACTGTCTCGGGGACAATACCCCATGCTGAGGATTAATGGTCCCTCCAGACCTTTGATTCACCAGCGCCTTTTCTTTGCCCTTGACAAATTGGATTTTTAGGAATGGGAAGGTCGCCTGGACCATTGTTCGCTAGCCATTCAAAGTGCTTGATTATGCAGGAGGGCTAGGGAACGGCTCCATGTGACCCTCTCGGAGGGAGCTGTGCAGCTGCTGGGAGAGCGAGACTCTCTCACCAAACTCTGCGCCCTGGAGCACCAGCGTGCCAAGGGGTACCCCTCCTGTTCCCATTGAAAAGCCGGCGTGCACACACCGCCGCGTCACTCTGCGGGCGGAGATACGCCTGTGTTCATCCCTCTCTCTGCCTGTCTCTGTCACTCCAGCCCTGTTAAGTAGTTTGGGTTCGTGATCGCTTATACCCAGAGGCAGCAATGCAAACCAGCCGGGCTCCGGCCATCAGCGTCAATGCAGAAAGCTGCATCCCGGCCGGACTGCGCCTCGGTCCTGTGCCGGGCGTCTTCAAACTGGGCAAGTACCTGTCAGACCGCAGGGAACCAGGACCCAAAAAAAAGGTATTTCCTTTGGGCTCTCCTGCACCGCTGGACCTGGCTTGATCAGGGGGATCCGTGCTCTGGAGAAGAGGCTGCCTTCTTCTCCCTTCGTCCTGCCTGTAGAGCCAGCCCCGATTAAACCCAGGGAAGAACGGGAAGCTTTTAGACAGTGTCCCGAGACTGCTTCCTCCGCCTTGGAGCTTGACGGCATTGGCTGGAGCCTCAAGCCAGCCCTCCTGGCCGGCTCCCTGCGCGGCCGGCTGCGGAGACCAGTGGACGTGCTTGCCCCTGAGCTCCCCGTTCAGCCCAGGCGAGAAGAGGGGATGGGAGCCGAGCATCTCCCGCAGCCTGGCTGGAAGCTGATCGCCTCTGGCTCTAGGTGGCAGGGAGTCGCGGCAGGTCGCAGGTTTGCGGGGCGCTGCTCCTCGCCCCCCTCTGGGCTCGCTGCCATTGCCAGCGCCCCTGTGCTCCGAGACGCCTGCTCTTTCTCTGCATGTAGCCGCGCCGGGACGTGGCCCCGCTTCCGGTCCCCCCCGGGTGTGAG